CTGGCCAAGACCGAGACACACGTCAAGTACAAGGATTGGTTGGACTCGCCATGGTCTGGCTTCTTCGAAGGCAAGGACCCACTGAAGGTGGCGCCTACTGGTGTCAAGGAGGAAACTCTGATTCATATTGGCAATCGTTTCTCTTCGCCACCACCCAATGCTGCAGAATTCGTTATTCACAAGTGAGTGAACCACACAAACTAATCCGTATAACAATTACCAACTGTGCTCTATTCCTTATTCAGGGGTCTTATGCGTGTTTTGGCTGCTCGCAAAGCCATGGTTGATGAGAAGGTCGCCGATTGGGCCTTGGGTGAGGCCATGGCCTTTGGATCGCTGCTGAAGGAAGGCATCCATGTGCGTCTCTCCGGCCAGGATGTCGAGCGTGGCACCTTCTCGCATCGTCACCATGTGCTGCACCATCAGCTGGTGGACAAAGCCACCTACAATTCGCTGCAGCACATGTATCCGGATCAGGCGCCCTACTCTGTATCGAACAGCTCGCTGTCTGAGTATGCTGTGCTGGGCTTCGAGCACGGTTACTCTATGACCAATCCCAATGCTCTGGTGTTGTGGGAGGCTCAGTTCGGTGATTTCTGCAATACGGCACAGGCCATCATCGATCAATTCATCTCCAGTGGCCAGTCGAAATGGGTGCGCCAATCGGGCTTGGTTATGCTGTTGCCCCACGGTATGGAGGGAATGGGCCCCGAGCACTCGTCGTGCCGCGTCGAGCGTTTCCTGCAGATGAGCTCCGACGATCCCGATTACTTCCCACCCGAGTCCGATGAGTTTGCCATCAGACAATTGCACGACATCAACTGGATTGTGGCCAACTGCACGACGCCTGCGAATTTGTTCCACATCTTGCGTCGTCAAATCGCTTTGCCCTTCCGCAAGCCTCTAATTCTGTGCACGCCCAAGTCGCTGCTGCGTCACCCGGAGGCAAAGAGTCCGTTCAGCGATATGAGCGAGGGCAGCGAGTTCCAGCGCATCATACCCGATCGCGGACCCGCCGGTGACAACGCCAGCAACGTTAAGAAGGTCGTCTTCTGCACAGGTCGTGTCTACTACGACCTGACTAAGACGCGTGCCGAGAAGCAGCTGGAGAAGGACATCGCCATCGTGCGTGTGGAGCAGGTGCGTCTTTGGGTTATTGACTTTATATGCATTTGAATTTCACTAAATTGAGTTTTCGCTTCATAGGTGTCACCCTTCCCCTTCGACCTGATCAAGGAGCAGGCCAATCTTTATAAGAACGCAGAGCTTGTCTGGGCCCAGGAGGAGCACAAGAATCAAGGCTGCTGGACATATGTACAGCCCCGTTTCCTCACCGCCCTCAACCACAGCCGTGATATCAGGTGCGTAGTTAGCATTAAGCAACCATCCTAGCTACACAGAGAAACACAGAAATCCGCCCCATATGCCACAAGTTGCACTCTCTTTACTCTGTTTTACTCTTGCTCTGTCTCTTATATTTCTCTCTATGGATTTGTAAGCTGATTTGTGCAGCTTTTTCTTTTCTTTCGTTGGTTTTCTGTGATTTCAAATAATTTAATTTCAATCTACTGCACTTAATGCATTCTGGTTATTTTATTATTTAGTCACTCTCATTAAGTGCTCTGAAGCACTCTCTCTCTTTTGGTATTCTTTGAATTTGATTTGGTTCTCTCGTAAATTTAAACTATTTCCAGTTGTTGCCTTAATATCACATTTGTTTTTAACATTCCTCATGCTCACCGCACTCAGCACTGCCATCGCTTAAGCTAATCTTTTTTCCAGCTTTTACTAATTTTCATTTAAGTATCGTAGCGTGTTCAGAGTATATCTATCTTTACCTCTTAGCTGCGATCCTTCTGTTACTCTCTTTCTCTCTATCTCTGTTCGAGCAGACCAACTCTTAGATCTCTATACAAAACACACACACACACACTCATAGTGCAACAGACTGTTACAAAAGTGACTCACGTGTGAACTAGTTCATTGGCTTTGACTTAAACCAACCAGACACAACACACACACAACAACACACGCACTTGCGCACACTCTTATACATACACATATCTCGTATCATATATTTTATAATTTGCATGGCTTCTTTAATTGTTAATTTCTTGATTTTTGATCTCGAACTATTATTATTTAGAGTTTTGTTATCTTATCTTATTTAACTGTTGATGTTACCTAAGATCAAGAGTGTTCTATTTTTGTTCCTTGATTTCCTTATATATCCCTTCCGTTTGTTTGAGTACCAATTGGCAAAGCAAATATACGTAATATTCAATGTTGAACAAAGAAAAAACAAAAAATCAAAAACCAAAAACTTGTCCTCTCTTTCTCTCTCTCTCTTTCTCTCTCTGTGTATGTGTTATTGTTACAGCCAAAGCGATGAACAATCCACCTTCTCCAATACAACTAATACTAATCAAGAATCCGATACCGATTCCGATTCTAACTCCGACAAAAAATCGAAACCCTGGCTAAGTCGCATGTTTGCCAGCGATAAAACTGATACCGTTACAACGGGATCGGGCACCGTTACGGGCGAGTTTAATGCCGCCAAGCATTTCGATTTAAAGAACGTACGACACGATTTCAATAGGCCCGCAGGCATTGCGGCCGCCCCCGGCGTGCGCATAGCAAAAACCGGACGTAAAATTAGGTGAGAGGGCAGAGATATCTCGTAATACTACTGCATACTCGATGCGCGTCAATTGAACTACTTAACCTGCCTAACTATAACTATCTACGATATCTATATCTATCTATCTACAATTATCTATCTATATCTATCTGCAAAATATAACAACCAACAATATGAACAACTCCAAATTCTAACTTTAATAGCCTCGTTACGAAATTTTTGGAGTATCTGCATTTTGTTTTTAATACACAATCCTTCCCCACCATTTGTACCATTTGCGTTTCTTCTTTGTTTCTCGTTTGCCGTTTCTCATTCAAGCGCAATTTGGCATGCCTTTTAATTTCATAAGCAAAACAACTCTGATACTCGTTTTGCTCTTATACTACTATCATTCTGTACTACTAATCCACTCTACTTTAGCACCCAAAAGTTCGTTCTTTTAATACTTACTATCTAACTTTATGTTTCTTATATTACTTTTACTTCTGTTCCAAGCACGCGCATTTTTTGTATGTTTTTTATTCACTGATATTACGTACCCCCAAGCTAAAGCCTTACTGATCCATAAACGTTTGTATGTTTGTTCAATGTTTATGTATAACCGGAGCAAACAGACATACACACATATCTACCTACGTATACATCACAAAATACAATATCTATATCGTCAAGTTACAAGACAGATCTGCATAGATACTGAAAACCTATTCATAGACTGAACTTCATTCAAGCAAAAGATGCTTATTGAATAATTCATTTGTTATAGTTTTTCCTCATAGGTCCTATGTTTACAGGCTATGTGTATATATTTATGTATCTAAGGGCTGGGCTTTTATTATTGTCGTTGTATTACTTCTTTTGTGGGCAGGTGATCCACTGATTAGAACTACGCTCCATTAATTTTGTTAATGCATTATTTCTAATATTTTACGCTGGCTTAACAAACTCATTTTCTCATGGCCTTTTAACTGAACTACCATATAAACACATATATAAATATGGAAGATCATAAATCTAGTGCATGTTCTAGTCTAACCAAATCAAATTTAGTCCAATTGTTATGTGTACTCACTGACTGATGTCGACTGGCTATGTTTTTTTACTATATATATTTATGATCCCAACTATCCTACAGCTATGCTGGACGTGCCTGTGGCGCTTCAACTGCAACCGGATCGAAGGCCCAGCATATTCGGGAGTTGAACGCCCTGCTCAATGATGCGATTTCGACTTAAGAGGAACATGCAAAGAACTTTTGGAATGTGGATCAAGCTGGATGATTAACTAGAGATGAAGTGAAATTGAATATTAATTATGATTATATATTTTGTAATAGAAACGTCTTTGATACGATTTTTTCTGACGATGAAATTGTTAAGTGCATATTGTGTGAAAGTAATGAAATTTTAAATATTAGTTTAGTCAAATTGATGAAAGTGAGCAAAAAACAAACAAACAACAACTAGAACACAAAATGTTTACAAGCTTAGCAATTAAAACAAAAAACCAACTGAAAATCCACACACCAAACAAAAACTAAAACAGAACAATCTTTAAAGTGAAGAATTCAAATTCTAGTAGTTAAAATACACAGTCACATACAAATACACACATCAGTTCTATATCTATATAGAAGAAGATAAAGCAAATACATTTTCAAAATGAATGTAATTTTATTTTATTTTTATGCTTAATTATTTATTTTATTGTATTATATAGTAATTACCTATCTCAAAAAAAAAAAAAAAAAAAAAAAAGAAAGTCTTTGAAGAAGAGAAGAGAGAAATTACTAAGTGTTTTTGTTTGCCTTTTGCTTAAGTTATACAATTTTGTTTTTAATAAACGTAAAGAACATATATACTTTATATATGTATGATGTATATATGCATATATGTTAGTTGACTCACGAGGGGCAGATCAACAAGATTTATCAGGGACTATTTTGCATCAGTTACTAAGTATATGGAGTGTATCAGAGAATGTAATTGGGGAATGCTTTAAGTATTTTTACTGTCACAATTTTTGAATATACTTAGTATTAATTGAAAAATGCGATACATATACATACATACAAATACCTATATAAATATATACATATATTTTTTGTTGGGTTGGTTCACTAGCCCGCCTACACTCTTTTTGCAGCACTTGTGCTATAATTGATTAATCGATTTAGTACTCATATTGCATGACATATTGCACCATTTTGTCGCACCAATATTTGATATTGAACGTAGAGTGATACTAAAAAAACTTTAAAACTATTTTACTCGCGAGAGAGAGTATATAAGAGAGTATAAGTGTGTGTCAACAGAACGAAATTAACTCTTCTACTCTATAAACCTTTTAATATTTCTAATCTAAAAAAAAAAAAAAAAAATAAGAAGAAAAATAAATAAAAATGAACCCCTACTTTGCACCAGCGATAAAACTTGCTAAAAGTCTAAAGTATAGTAAGTAGCATGTTAACATTTAAAATTTACTAACAGTTAAAAAAGAAGAGTATATGTGTAAAGCGGATAAAAAATAAAGAATATATATACAATTAAGCATAAACAAATGACTTTGATTGGGATTTAAAATGCAATAAATACAGAGGATTCCTCGGAGAGGAAGTACGCAGCTAGGCGTTAATTCAATGATAAGAAACAAACTGGCATGTTTTATCTGAAAACCTCGAGCTAATTATATTATAAATGCTATACTGCTTAAAATGACTAACACTAATTATGATAACAAAAACTTTACAGTCATGTCATGGAGCATGAGAGTGTCAAGAGATTTGTCAAAGTTTGTGTGTGGGCGAAGTTAAGTCTTGCTCTAAAGAGACTTATAATTATACTTGTACTTAATCGACTATTCAGTTTTCCGTTTCTGACAATATTAAGTCTTACCTCTCTTACTTGTAATTTTTCCCAGCTAGGAGACTTGTCAGCTTCTGGCCCTCCTAAGAAATATATTTATATACACTTAAACTCATTCGCTTTATAATACGACTCGTTGCCCTCCGATCTCTCCCTTTAATTTATATTAGCACTACTTATAAAACTATACAGATTTAACCTAAGGTTATGCTTATAAAATTCGTACTTCTTTCAAGACTCGTATTTTCTTAGTTTATGTTAAAGCAAACAAGCTTTACAGCTTATCAGTTAGCCTAGCCTTTTGGCTACAACAAGTCGTTTGTCTCGTCTAGATTTTCCGATTTTCCATAGGAACTGAAGCACGTTGCATTTTCCATCTTTCCAGTTTCCATTTTCACTGTCATTCTACATTCGCAGTATATTTGTATTCTCTGTGCGCCTCACTTTCACATTAACTGGAGCCTCTGCTATGATCGTCTTCTTCTTCTTCATCATCGTCGTCTTCTTCCTGTCTGACAACTTAGACAACACAAATTGGGCAAGTAAAACGCTCACTTTTGGCCAATTTCACACAGGTGGGCAGCAACGAACACTAGCCTACGGACACACACACACACGCACATACATACATTTATAGTTGTATGGACAGCCATTAAAGCAATTCCATTGAACATCTTCGAGCGTTTTACTTTACTTTCTAATGTCCGGCGCAGCATTTCTTGTTTGTGCTGATCGAGCCCCTTGGGCGATAAAAAGGCGAGAGTACATTGGTAATAACATGTTTTAAATTCTTTATTGGGTGAAGATTTTTTTTTTTTGGTCAAACAAATGGGAGCATCTGGCATGCATTACAGTGCTTGGCAGTATAAGGATGAACTTAGCCTGAAAGCTCTAGCTGCGTCACTGCTCATTGGCTGTGCTCTGTACACCCATACATTCTTTACTTAGCAGAGAGCTTCGCTCGCACACTCCAGAAATTGGTAAAAGCTAATTTGCTTCGCATTCAACACCCTGTGCTAAGCAATTACATATGTATGCGCATACTTCTTAATGCATAAGCATTCCCTCTTTAGTAGCAAGACAGCTTCAGCGACAGTGAACTTCGTGTGAAAGCTCTTACAGCAAAGCACGATAATTCGCTGCATTGGAAGTATGTAATTGCTTTAATGAAGTCTCTCTTCCCACTGACGCACTTAGCTGCAGCGCTGAATTTCTCCTGCAACCGAATTTATATGTTAATTCGCTTCGTTGTGTTACAAATAGTCGCAGCTAATTAATTGTCTCCGCGCTTACTTCTTTATGCACACAGTTGCTTCCCACTGACCTTCGGGATGCGCCGCAGCAACTGAGAACTTCGCCTGTAAGCTCTAGCAAAGCGACACACTAAGTGACTACTGGCCAAGCTTTTCAATGCCCATTTCTTTATTGTAGTGTGCCTTCGTGCGCTCTGACCTCGTCGGCACTAAAGCTTCAGCAGGCAACTTCGTATCGTCGTCTGCCGTTGGCAGCATGCGCCGCTTTAGCTTTAGGTATCGCTCACTTTTCAGTCTGTTTGTGCCCGCGAACGCGATCGTAAGAAAGCAAATAAAGCAGAAAAACGGGTCGCATTCGAACTGGGATTCCGAATCGGATTCGGACTCGCCTACGTTTTACGGTTTCGGTTCGCTTTTGTTATCGAAACCAATTGGAATTGTGCAACTGCGCTAATGATTGATCGAATGTGCTACGTTGCCTATTAAAACAAAAGTAAAAGTGTGCGCGCCACAAGATGTGGCAAATGCTGCGATGCTCATTGAAAGTGTATAAAAATTCGCATTAAAAAGCTTTTGTTGCTTTCATCTCCTATTCATATTGCGCGCTCAATTTGTGTATGAAAGAAGTCGCACAATACATAAAGTCTTTATATAACAAAGCAATAAATAAACAGTGAAGTGTTAGATTATTCATATCGTTTATCAATAGCCGTTACAGAAAAGCCGTCAAAATGTAAGTGCATTGATAAGAGTTTACTTTGATGACATACTAAATATTTAATATTACGAGTTTAAAACAAAGAGAGTTCTTTTTCGCCCCTATTTTTACAACTCTTAAATACAGCTGATAAATAGCTGCTCTTATCGTGCTTCTACAGAAGCGCTCATGTATATATATATACATACATATATCTTAGCTTCCTCTGATATCAAATGTCAATGGAAATTCTCTGATTCATACGAATTTGTTGTTCAGTTTTGCTCTGCTTTAATCTTGAGCCAGAAGACAGCCTCTCACACATATACATACATACGCAGAAAATTGATTTATTTGTTTGTTTGTTTTTTTTTTACGCCCCTCTTTCGCAATTTACGTACTTTAGAAAGCTGCTAAAGACAAATAAAGGCTGAAACTTCTGCGAGATGCGCTGAAAGTTTTGCCCGCCGGCTAAGATTCGATGTCGAATTCGAAGTCAAGCCCAAAGTCGTAGACTACACGCAATAGATCACTTGAGATCTGACATAAATCTTTGTCGTTGACTCTTTTCTATTCAATTGTTTGTTTGTATGTTTTTTATTTTATTTTTTTTTCTATTTATCTATTTATATACAGTTGATATTTGCTTAACATGTGTCAGTCGCAATCATTCAGCGCTTCCCGGTCGCATATATCTTTATGGTTATTGTCTTAAGTAGCTGAAAGTTCACTTGCGACAGTTGCAGTTGCATTTTGCAATTACACTGCGCAACAGCAATTTTTATTGCAAGTCTCTGAGCGAATATGTAAAGCTCCAGGCAGCATACGAATCAATGGGAAGCGAATAGCATAGTAAACAGAATGAATGAGGAAAAGAGAGTGACAAGAATCTAATGAGTGATTAATTTAGAGAGATAAAATGTCGATCGTCAGACCTGAAAGCTTTCAGGGTCAAATTGTTACACTCTATCCAAGTAAAAGTCTGCGAAATGGAAGGCAGAAAAATAATGATAAATCATCAAAAAATATGCAGATATCGAATTTCGATTAATCAATCAAAGTGTTAATTGTAATTGAGGCCATGAGAATCGCATAGAAAAGAGCAAAGCAAATAACAAAGAATAAACAGTAAGCGCAACGGGTTTGCTAATTGGGAAAACATTTGTAAACAAAATAGAGTTTATCAGACTTCATATTTCTCTGCCTGATTGTGTAGCCGAGTGTTGCTTACTTATTTAACAATTTCTTCCTGTCTCATTTCAAAAATAATATAAAAGACAAGCTGAGCAATATGGCAAACATGGGCAAGTATACGATGTTTGTACATAATCCATAAAGACAAATACAGAGACGTAAACTGGCCTTCATTTGGATGTTGTTTGTTTGTTAATGTCAATGTAATTCTGTAATAAAAACATTTGCCAAGTCTCCGTTGCTTGTCGCTCGTTGTTGCTAACAAGTGATCATAATAATATAATAATATAGTTAATAATATAGTTATGCAGGCAAATGATATAGTATGGACACGCACACGATATCTGACAAGACTTCACTTTCCATTTCCATTTGCAATGAAAGTCTCTTGGGAATGAGCACACACCAAATTTGTTCACAGCCTCTTTTCTTTTATTTTGTTTTTGTTTTTAATAATTATTTGGCTCAAGATTTGCATAACTATTCATGCCTGTTGAGAAGGCATGCATAGGGTATATAATATGCGAGCAGAAAAAAAGCGTATATATAAAAGCGGATATATATATGGTATGATTGATCATTATCGTTAGCAGAGTCGATCAAGCCGTAGTTACCCTTGTCTGTAAGAATCAGAATCACAAGAATTATAAGAACTAGAGATATGAAATTGCACAGCAAACTAACAACTTTTTTAACTACATCAAACTTTTGTTTTTGGAAGTTTTCAGACCATCTTCAAACCTCGTAAAAAAAAAGACAATGAAGGTCGCATTTCCACCTTCTTCAGGGTATCTTGCAGTCGTGTATAGCCCATTACCGCACGTTCAATTGTTGTAACTAGATTTCTTAAAGCATTATTGTTGCCTTATAATTTGGCGATGCTGTGGGCGTCGCATATTCGCATAATTTTGTTGTATCTGCATCTATGTATCTCATAGATGCAAAATAATCTAATAGTGGGCGCGCTGACACTTTTTATTGACTGACTCAACGTTCAATTTAAGCTCGAATTAGCTTTATGCTAACGATACACTGGCCAAAAAGATGGCACTGAAATTTCCCAGAAATCGGTCGCATATATAGGTATTCTGACTTGCAAAAATAACTACACGAAAAATAAGTCTAAAATATTGTGAAACAGTCCAAAGCGAAATAGCAAAAGCAGCACGTTTTTGTATACCAAAGTTAAGATTAAAACCAAAAAGAAACATTTAAGTCAATATGTCTATATGAATAATATGAGTAATAAGTATGTAGAAATATTGTATGCTAAAGAGAAGTTGTAGAAGAAACTATAAATATTGTCTTTCATGTAGTCAAAGAACAGTGTATAGGCTTTGTGCTCAGTGTAGAGTAGAAGAGTCAAAGTAAAACATAATGAGAGAAGAAATATATTGAGATTCGAAATTTAACAATCGATTTTTTAAGTGAGGTATTACTTTCAGTTAGACCTGTTAAATGAAAATTGTATATGGATCCTTTTAAAAGTAATATCCCAAGCCTGTTGGCGATTCCTAGATGTCAACCAGTTCTTACATACTTCTACGGATGTAAGCTCATTTTTACAGATTGAAAATACTTGACTTTGTTTTAAGATTTACAACCGACTCTGCTGCAAAGCTCAGTTAAGTTTTCCCTACGCTTTAGTATTTTCCCAGTTTATGTTATTTCCTCAATTTCTGTTGTTTTAGCAGTTCTTTTGGTGAGTGTAGAGACTGACCTGTTTTTCCCCAGTTCAACTTTAGTTTGTTTATTTTTTGTGACTTTTTTATTTGACTGGGCATTCCTGCGGCTGTGACTCATGATCATGATCATGATCGTGGTGCCGAAGAAAGCGAATCAAGTGCTGCATGCTGGACAAACTGTTTGCAAACCGGTCAGTTACAGTGCCTCACAGAAAAGTTTAGCCACGCCATGCCACGCACGTGGCAGCTGTTTTTCCCGCTCTCGAATTTTAATTTCGGATCCGTAAGCTCGTAAATTGTAGTAGTTGCCCATGTATTAATCGCACTTGTCAGACAATGAACTTTGCTTTCGCATACAATTCGCGTCAGCAATTTTTTACTAAGTGTACAGAAATATATATGTATGTATAAAAGTCTATATACGTATATATATATATATGTATATTTATGTGGATAAACACGTAATTGCTTTGACTTTTAACTAGTTTTTGTTATTTTACGAATTCCTAAATCAGCGACTAAATCCGATCAGCTGATTAACCTTTTAGTGATCATTTGTGCGTCAAATGATCAGTTCGGATCAAAAATTATTATTAATTTTGTGAAGCGTCTGTGATGAAATCTGCGAATGACAACTGATCAGTTCCTCTACTGATCATTAATCACTGCTGATACGGATCATTGATTGATTCGGCAAACTAATCTGTGATCAACTCTAATGTGATGATCGTGTTGACCGCCGAGCCCTTTTATTATTGGTCCTTTTAATGATCAGTGATCAGTTCTTTCACTATATCAATGACCAATTATGGGACTGATCCCTAATAAGTTCAGCTACTAAGCATTGATAATTCATCCCACTGTTCAGCGATCAATTGCCCGTCAGATCACTGATCAATCTCAGCTTTCATCACGTCTTTCGCTCTTATTCTAATTAAGTTGTCAGCCCCAATGATCATCAGGTGTTATTTTTATTCCTTTTCACAGTACTCAATTGATTTATGTTTATTTTTTGTGAAATTCCACATCGAAGTGGATTGTTTTTTCTGTGCTCATTGTTATGCATTTGGCATTTGGTTTTGGGCCAGTCGTGCGACAATGATTTCACATTGAATATATATGTATATAGTATAGTATTCTATATAGTTCAATGTTGTACAATTTGGCAGCTCTGAAACGATGTCAAATCGTGGGCGACTCAACTGTGGTAGCCACTCAGCTGGCCCAGAGAGTTCATTCAACGCGAACTAGTCATAAAGATGAGCTCACTCCACATAAATGGACACATATGCCGTCTAATCTATAGCACCACTTGATAGAGACAGGTATTATAAACTTTATAATCTAAATGTGTGCGTGTGGGAAGCCCAAATCTCAAGGCCGAACCTATGAATTGATAAGAACAGCGTTGAAAAAATATAAATATATATATGCAGCTCTATACTATGTAGTGCTGCATATACGGATGACTTCTTTGATTTGTATCGGCGGCGTATTTTACTTCGAGTCATGCCATTTATATAGTTTTGAATTTATGTGCTCCACGCGCTAATTAGCTGATTTTCTATCAACTTTCTTCTGCTGCTTCTTGTTCTTCGTCTTCGTCTTCGGCTTCCTTTTGCGATTCGGTTTCAGTTAACTGATTAATCACGAATCATTGACCGTTGATCGCGTCAAGTACGTGGCGCACGGTCTCTCGCTTCGAATTGGACACAAATCACGTTTGAATTA